GAATGATAATTCCCCAAAGATACACAGACCTCAATTCTTGGACTTCGTGAATACCTTAATTGATAGAAAAAGTATTACAGTCAGAACTAAAAATCAGAAGTTTAAATAGGCAGATTATTCTGGATTGTCTAGAGAGGCCCAATCTAATGCTACAAACCCCCATCGCAGGGAATTATACTTTCTTCTTATATTAAGTACTAAAATTCTACTACTACTACTATTTCTATCTTCATAGTTAAAAATAAAATTAGTTCTATTGTGAAAGGAATTTCGTGACACAGAAGGCCCAGATTTAAGGTCATTCATATTCTGCTTCTTTTTAGGTGTTTACAGAACCTCACGCTTCCTGCCATTAGCAGTAAGATAGTGCATTGGACTGGCACCTTCTCTTGACTGTATCTCTTGACACAGCCTCTTGTTTCAAGGTCTTGGATAGTTTTTAAGGCCCAAACTACTAGTCACTCAGTCTTTCTCCAAACCGTGTCTATGTCTGCTTTGAAGGTCAAATATTCAGCCATGCCTGCATAAATATTTTTGAAAATTTAATTGAGACCAAATCTTAATGGTTATATCAAAATACAATAAAATAGTTTCCCTTTGAGAAAACAAACTGGTGATTACAAATCATATATAAAGAGAATACAATACCTGTTCAATACATCTAAAAGCTTTTTCATCATAGGAAAAAAAATATGACCCATCTTAGATTTGCAGTGTTTTCTATAGTTAAGAATCATATCCAGAATATATTTAGATATTTGTCTTGGAAATAATTTCACTCCTTAAGTATACAAAGACATTTACTCAATGGTACTTTCCCAGATTTGTTATTTGTGTGTTTTTAAACCTCCCGTCAGTGTTACCCTGCCATCATTTGGTACCTGACCTTCCAGTCATTAACACTGTGGCAAAGTTGAAGCTCACAGAAAGAGTAAACAGTCATCATCCAAAGCTTTCAACTCTGCCTCTACCAAGACAATGCGTCTGAAAAGAAAGACCTATCAGCAAGGAAATGCCAAAGGTCTCCTCTCTGCAGAAAAGACCCGCAAGTCAGTTTCCACCCTGCAGGTTGGGTTATGAAACAAAATAAGCTGTGGAGATTTACCCTTGCAGATTTTCTTGTGGATGCTTCCCTGGGGTATTCGTAACATCTTTTGATACTCCTTTTTGAGTTTCTTTTAAGAAATTAAATAGCAGCTGTGCAGATTGAATGAATGATGTCCTCTGCATCCATTTCTTCACAAGAATTTTATTACTTATTCTTTGACAGCCTTAGGTTTCTATTTTGTTTAGAATACTGGCTGCAATTATATTAGTTACACAGTCTTTTATGGTACTCAATGCAAAATAAATATATGTTGTTCTTCACTGAAACAGCCGGGGGGAAATATTAAAAATACTAGTACTTTTTTTTCTTCCATAGTTTTGTTTTGCTTTGTTTTGTTTTTTTGAGACAGTGTTTCCTCTGTAATGCAGCCTCACTGTGCAGCCCAGTTTGACCTTGTATTTAAGACAATTCTCCTTCCTCAGCCTCCTGAGTGCTGAAATCACAGGCATAAACCATTCGTGCCCGACTTCTTCCACACTTTTATCCCTGTCATGTCGTTCTGTTTTTTACATGACTTTATGTCATTCAGATAAAAAATTTAAGATCTCTTATATGACATACTACATATGTCTTTATAATATGTGTAATACCACTAATATAAGGGCAACTGAAATTGTATGTAAAAATCACAGAAATTACCCAGTTCGTACTTTGCAATTCATGTATAAATATTTCATTTTTGCCAGAATAAACTGTCCAAAAAAGTAGCTCAGTGACATTAACTTCACTTCTTTATATTTGCACATTCTATCAGAACTCAAGTTCCAGCTAACTTCCCAGTAAGAAAAGTTTAAAAGACAAGGGAGCTAGGGCTCTCTTATCTTTCTTTTTCATTCTAGGTCATTATATTTAGTGCCATTATATTTAGTGATCTGCGAACGTAGGGATATAGCGTGAGTGAGAAAGGATGTCCGGGGGTTCCTTGTTGTGTATTTACCTTCTTTCTGCATTCAAAGCAAACTTTCACTGGCTTAGAAAGAACCACCTCTTTCCAGCAGTCAGTACAATTCTGCTACATTTGTAGGCAGAGAATGCTTATCTTTGATGCACTTTGAATTTCCCTGAAATTCCATATACCTTCAGTTTGCAGGCAGTCTCACTACATGGGACATCACCAACACTATATATGAAAGGAAAAGAAGGCAAATACAACGAGTGTGTCCTCCTGTTCACTTAGACAATGCTTACAAACCACAGCTCCTAAGTTATAGATCAAATTATTAAGATATTCAAGATGCTGATGGCAGAGAATTAAGCAAGTACTAGGCTCTTTTAAGCTCAAGGTGCTATATGTGCACAAAAGCTGCCTACTTATGATGATATATCTGTAATTATTTTTTACTGAATGTCTTCATATATCCAGTTCTTTATGTATATTTTGAAAAATCCTGAAAAAGTTTCATCCTTGTTTCATAGAGTATGGAATGAATGATTCAAAGGGTTATTTTGTTCCATATGTTGCCTGTTCCACAGACAGAAACGATTTAAGTTTGAATCAATAATCAAGCTATAACAAAATATGAAATTTTAACTAATCCTTGAACATATTATAAAGTATGATCAGAATTAGTGGAATTTTGAAAATCCATGGCTTCGATAGCTCAATATTATAATTTCATAAGTATGGTACAGGCAGTCCTCACCATGCAGAACTTTGTTAACCAAAACTGGCACACAGTACTCTGATATGGTGTCATCACTGTCTTTTACTGTGGAATGCTGCAAATCAAGTACTTCTTACATAATTTTTCACATTTGTATTGTGGTCTTTAGTTTTCCCTTTCGGTTATTGTTGTTCATTAAGGTGTTATTTATTATGCTATGAAGATTTATTCCAACAGATCTGGGACTGATCTGAGCTGTGTCACTGAGGTATCCACACAGCGCTGGCCCTTGATCAGACCAGGAAATATATTAAGAGTCCTGTAGCTTTGTAAGCATATGTGACTGATACTTGGGGATTATTTGCATGACTTTGTCAGCACTGTCTAATCAATATATTGAGACTAATGATTTGTGCCTGGCCTTGGGGAAAACTGCAGAGAATTCCTCCATGGGGCTAATTACATGCCAAGGAGATACTAATGTGGTCCACTGGGTATAAAGTAACACCATCAAAACACAATTATGGATTCTCCAGCCCCAAGTGGGTTGTGTACAGATTAGTAATCCCTGACCTGAGAGAAGAAAAACAGCTGCACAGCCTGTACACACAGCGGGAACCCAGGGCTGTTCTCTCGGGACTTTTTACTGTGAGGTCTTTGGCTATCACACGCCTCCTTATTTTAATGTTTTTTCTTTATTGTTCCTCCTTTCAGTAAATGGCACATTTACATACATTTTCATTTCTTGTCTTCCTATTTAACAATCAATCCTATTACTACATGTGCTTTTAGAAATGATGTTTTTCATCCATTATATATACACAATATCTTGAATGTTGTTATACTTAAATATCCATAATCAGAAAAATAGCTCTATTGTTTCTAAAACATGTATGTGTCCTTTTGCACATAGTCCATCCTGCCCCGCTAGGAGAACAGATTTACAAATTTGTTTCAGGATATTACCAGAAAATACAGTGCATAATTATTTTTTAAAATTTATTAAACTAAGATACATATTACACTCAAAATACTTCCTCTCATTTTCAACATACTTATCTCACACTTCTTGCTACTTTATGAAGCAGGCCTGGAAGCTCTCTTCTGTAAGTTTCTTTAGTTTCAAGGTCATGGGTGTCTGAACGTCCCGAATGGATTCAAGGTTTTACCTTTTGCTATGGTGTAGATCATGATGTTCCTCCAAAACCTCATGTGTTCAGAAGTGCTGCTGTTGTAAGGTAATTCGCTCATGGGAGCACTTTTCTCAGCAGTAGATTCGTCCACTGAAGAATGCATGCCTGAACGGAGGTGGGACCTCTCTGGAAGTAGGTTCTTGGGGGAATGGCCTTGGCAGAATGTGTCTCCCTCACCAGTTCCCTCTTTCTCTCTCTGCTCTGTAGTTACGTGATGTGAACAGGTTTCCTCTGCACCAAATGCTTTCACCTTGCCACTTTCACCTTGAGGCCGGCCAGCTGTGGACTGAAATCTCTAAAAACTGTGAGCGCAAATAAGCATTGCACCCTTAAAATAGTGGGAATTGTGTATTTTATCTTGGCCACTAGAATGCAGCTAAGACACTTTTCATGGTATATTGAATCTCAGTAGGAACCAGAGGCTGCATGATGCCAGATCCAATGAATAAGGTAGAAGAAGACACACTAATATTTTACAAACTTATTTTTCTGATGAGTGACAGCATCACCATTGGCTGTATTTTTTAGCATACCTTTCAGAGATGTTCATGAAAGAGAACTTCCAGAATTTCTTCAGAAAATGGCAAGAATGGTGGAATTAGTGTGTTAGAATCAGTGTGTTGGAAGTGAGGGGTAGTACTTTGGTGTGGATGAAGGATGATGTGTTTTACTATAATTTATTAACTTTCTTCTTATACATTTTGGTCACAGCCCCCTGCCACACACACCCATATTGGGACACTAGTTTTTGCACAGGGATGAAGTAGGCTATTTTGCACAATGAGGGAAATACTGATGGCACACAATCTGTAATTGTTAAATTAGAATTAACTACGCAATAAATTGAACTGTTAGTTCTTTGTCCTGAGATCTCTATGAAGAAAATTAGAGGACTTCTGAGAAAATTCTTAGTGAAAAAGAAAGTGAGTTTTTTGGTTTTTGTTTGTTTGTTTGTTGCATATCCCTAAATGGCAAGATACATATATAAATCATTATTATAGTGGAAGAAAATAATGATAATAACTTGACGTAACTAGGAAATATCTGTATTGGTCAGCTTTATATTTGATGGACACAATACTCAACACTCACAACTCAAAGGAGGGAGGTTTAATCTGGCTAATGGGTTAGGAGATTTACTAGGTTGGCTGGTTCTAATCAGAAGCACCATGTTGGACAGCCAGGTCAGAGGAAAGATGCTTACAAAACTCAGAAAGCAGAGTAGTAGAACAGTGCATACAGGGAGGTGTAAGAGATCAAACATAGGCCTGCAGGCATAGCTCCAGGAGCCATCTTGAAATAACGAGAAATGTGCTTCAGTAATCCTAAAGGTGGATCACAATGACAATCCAAGTTGACATTGTCTTCTAACTGCCACATTTTGTCCATTGAAACCCCAAGCACAAGAAAAGCCATATTTAATTTCTCACACTCAATCTCTAAATAAAGACAATAGCCAGTTTATAATTCCATCTAACATAATACATCTATCTATCCCACGTGCAAGCAGAAATTCAATAATCCCTTCTTGAAGTCTCAAGAATTCCTGTAGTTTCAAAAGTCCAAATCCAAGGCTCTTCTGAAATTCATTGCAAACTCTTTGCTGTAAATCTCTGCAGAAATCAAAAACAAGTTACATAAGCTCAAGGTACAAGGGCACATAATGAACATTACCAATGCAAAAGAGAAGAAAACAAATTAAAAAAACAGGTCTAAAGCAAAACGTGGCAGCACAAACATTAAGTCCTATAGTTCTATATTGAACATCTGGGGCATATGATGGGAAAATGTGAGTTCAGTTGGTTAGGCATGACACTGTCTTTATGTCTTTGCTGACTGTAATCCACATAGCCTTCCACTGGGGCTGACTCCACACAGGGCTTACAGTTTCCTCAGTCAATTTCCATGTGTCTGGCGCCTCTGATATCCTAGGGTCTCCACTGTGGCTTTGATTAATTTCTAGATTTCCATACACTGACTTGTCAGGGCCGCCTTGCATGTCATTCTGAGTCTTCCACTGGGATCTAGGTGGATGTCACCCTGCCTCCAATACTTTGGCATTCTGCCTGCTGATAGTATGAGCATTATATGGATGGAACCAAAATCTCCTGTCATTTTGAGCAGCAGCCAGAAAATATTGAACCATGATAGTAAGAGCTTCTGAGTGCTTGGATGGCTGAGCACTGTGGAAAATCCTGTAGAACCTAGAAGCCCTTTCTGGAATGTGAGTTCCAGTGACTTTCTTATCAAATGAAAAGTTTACACTTTTATATGCTGAAGCCTGTAATTAATGGGATCCTGCTGATCCCTGAGATAGCCCAAGGCACCTTTTTCTCTTATTCTTGTACAAAGTAGTTGATTTCATTTTAATGGTTTTAATCTTTCCAACATTTACATATTTTTCAATACCAAATTTATACGTGATTCTTTCTAGATCTTACTTCAGTTTTCTCTTTTTGCTCCTCTACCTTATGCCTCTGAATTTTACTAGAAATGTGACTAAAAACATCTCACCGTACCAATGCCACAATCTAAATGTTGGACTGTCTTGAAATTTTATCTGCCAGATTAGTCTACTGTCTGTAATCTGAATCTCCTGAAAAGTCTCAAGACATAAGTAATAAGGTAGATTTTTTGTTAGAGTGTAAAACACATGACCTCCAGTTCAATTGCCAGCGTAGTACTTGTTCCCAACCAAAACCTGCTGAAGCTGACCTGTACTGTCAACACTCCTAGGAGCATTCTGGTGTTTTAAGTACTGATATGAATAAGCCATGAAGCTCATTTAAAGCCTTCTGGGGTACCTAGCTCATATCTGTGCAACTTTACAGACTCTTTTAACGAAGTAGTGTTAAAAGCTTCTGAACCTCATGGTCATGTAAATTTATAGCAATGACTTTACTTCTGGTAGTAATTTTCTGTATTAGTCAAATTTCCTTTGCTGGACATAAAACTTAATATTCATAGCATAAAGTAGAAGAGATTTAATTTGACTTATGATTTACAGAATTCAGTCAATAATCACATGGTTCAAAGGCAGTAATATCATAGAAGAAAGGCATGGTGGAGGAGAGGTGCTTATTACATAGTAACCAGGAAGCAAAGAAAGGAAACATACAAGAGTGACTAGACTAGGCAGAAGACTAAATGTAGAGCCTAGTGGCATATCTTCCAGACCCAGAAGACACACTCACACTTCCACCAATCTCTGGAGCAGACTCCAAAGCCAATTAAAATTGACATTGCTGCAAGTGCCACAGTACCCAAATTGTTTTTCTCAAGAATCAAAAATGCTAGAAAAGTGATTCTGTTACAGTACCGGGGATTGAACCCACGACCACCTGCTTGCAAGGCAGGTGCTTATGCCGCTGAGCTAAATCTCCAGCCCCAAGAAAAAGGATTCTCAATATACAAAGCTCCTCATGATATTATCGATGACAGACTCTGTTGATCTGCTTCTAGTACTACATGATTTTCATTTTCATGATACCAACATGGTTGCCACATGCCAAGCATCTCATCTATTATCCAGAGAACAAAACAATAGTAAAAAGAGCAAATGTGCTGATAGGTGACTTAAATGATTTTTGGGAATTAGCCCATGTCCTCTTATATCTTATTGTCCAAAGGATGGGTTAAGTTATTGTATTTATTTAAAACATGTTACAATTAATTTTTTAGAGCTTTAGAATAAAGAAAGTAAACTGAAGGGGGATGTGAATATTTTTTGAGAAATCATCAATATAATCATACCTCCAATATGCTTTATTGGTAATAAATGCTGTGAGAACTAACCATGGTTAAAACAATTTCAGATGTTATTTGTAAGTCTGCCAATACGTTCTTTATAAGTTAGCTGTTTTGTTGTGGCAAAAGAAAAAAAAAACTGTGAAATATGAGATTGGTTTTCTTGAGAATAAAAGATCTAAATTATTAAAAGAAAAGTTCTTTTTCTCCATTATGTAAAGGTTCTGTTTTCTATGAGTTATTTTATGCTATCATGTGAAATTCTGTCAACTTCACTTAATTGCTGTGTTAAAAATAATTTTGCTGGTTTTTTTTTCTTTTTAAAGATGTAAAGATGTAGGGAGTCATGAACAATTTTTGAGCAGTTGTCTACAAGTTTCCTGAACAGTGTCATGTTCAATTATGCAGCATCCTCAGTCCCATGCCATCTACCTTATTGAGCAAGCAAACATCCAGGTATAGAAGATTGTGGGAGAAACTTGAACATGATAGAAATTTAATTTTTAAAAAACAGGGTAGTATCATAGGTTTGAGAGAAGTGATAAATGTAAGGACTACCGACAACTGTCAGAATTTTGTGCTAAATTTAATAGCAAATAACAAAATGTGCTAAATTCTATAAATAGATTAGGATATTTCATTTGTTTTTTGCACATTAAATGGTAATAAAAATGAATTTGAGGTAGGTTTTATGTATAAATCATAATGCCTGATATTTTATCGGGTATTTATTGTTTTACTAAATTAATATTCTTTTAAAAGGTTAGAATAAAGCATGCACATAGGCAACAGATTGTGCTAGCAAATCCATGGTACATATAATCATATAAAAGCAATGAAAAGAATGTTGATAAATAGAGAATGCATTTAATAGCTAATATTATTTTTAACAAACTATGAATTTGTAACATCTAAAATATGTAACATCACCATGGAATTGGCAGTAATGTGTAATAAAATGTAAATAACTCTTAAAATGCTCACAAAAAGTGAGCTCGGATAAGTTTCTCCTAGATGATCACATATTAAAACATGGCCTGGAGTCCCTGCTTATTTATTCATAGTAGGACTGACCTAGAAAGTTGCATGAGATTCCAAATGTTGTTGTCTTGGGAATAATTTAAACATAAGCACAATAATTCCAGTAATTCTTTTTTTACTTACTGTGTAGTCATATTTCCAAACTCTTTTTTACTAGAGGATCTCAGCAAAATAACCATCATTGTACTGATACTGACTGAGCCCTTAGACTCGTTGCCCTCGGGAGATGAATGCTAAAATAAATTAATGTAGAGTTTGTATCACAGGAAAGAGCAGCAGAAGACAGGTGACAAAGTGGCTGGGCATGAAATTGCCGTTGACTCCATGATAGAGGGAAAACACTGCATAACTTGAATTTTATCCACTAATTCCAAACCATTAAGACACTGGTCCTGATTTTTCCCCATGAGAAAACTGCGGGATCTAAAACTGTGAATGGTGAAGCACTGAATCCTCGGAGAAACATGCTCTTTTTGAAGGCCTCATAACTTCTGTACCCTAGTGACAGCGCCCTTCAACAGTACTGGCTTTGTGTTGACAGACTGCCTAACTTTTAAAGTCATAAACCTTTGTTTTATTTTACTTAGGTTTGTTGTTTTATGCAGCACTTTCGATGCTTTGAAGTAAAATCTATTAATTGATTTTAAAGGAGAAAAATAAATCTGAACAAAAAAAGTCATTCATTAGTTTGTTCACTAGGGTGCTTTCTCAAATCAGTCCTTGAAAAAATAGAGTCCCCAAAATGTGGTTTAATGCAGTTTTTTTTCCCAAAGTAGACAGGATTATGGCACATTTTTCTGCTATGTTTTTCCTGTTTGTTTCTACAACTTCAATCTGGGAATCTTGGATCCATAAAATCTATAATGAAATTTTACTGCAACCTAAACTATATGTAACTCTTTTAAATGCTAAACTCATAGTTGCCTATTTAAGACATTAAAAATAATACGTGATTAGTTTTAAGTATATGAGGAATTAAAATAATAACCTATGGTTCGGATATATTGGTCCTAAAGTCTATTATATGTGGCAAGTAGTTGAAAACATCTGTTAAGTTTAGACTTTCAAAGTTAAAACACATGCTATACTCTAGGAAAATACTCAGTCATGAAGAGAATAAGATATAATTTCCAATCTGAAGAAGTAAAATATTTTTAAATTATTTTCATGTGTCAGAAAAGAAAAAACAGAGGAAACTGAACACCGAGGCAGTGACTAGCCAAACACTATATCTAAATAAAAATGTGTCAAAGATTCTGTTACATCCAAATGACTATTTTTCTCCTTTAGCACAGAAAAATTATTAAGGCTGGACAAAAATCTAAGCATGGTTACCTGCTGCTTCAAGAAGATATGAGTTTCAAAAAAGACTAACAGAGCAAACTTTGAAAATAATCAAATAGAAATTGTAAAGAGAATAATGTTGCATTAAGATAAATTTAAGAATCAGTGCAAACATTAAGCATTCCATAAGTGCGGTCAAAGAGAGAGTTACTGAACTGGAAGTTACATCTGAAAGAATAACTGCATATCTATCCTGTAGATAACATGGGTTAAATAAATTTAAAAAATGAAAAATAGGTTAAAATACATGGATAGTGGACTGAGAAGATACAAGCAACTGAATACAATTTCCAGGATATGAAAATGTAGGGAGTCATGAACAAATAATAACAGACCATTTTTCCAGAAATGAAGACTGACGTTGCCATGTACTTACTGTGTCCCCCAGAATTCATCCATTGGAAATTTAATTCTCTACTCAGCAGGGCTGGAAAGTTATTTCTTCCTCCTTTGGGTGGTATTTCTTCCTCCTGGATAACACAATGTTCAAGGTGCCGCCTTGAATGAAGACAGAATCTTTACCAGGTACTGTTGACTTGATCTTGGACTTTCCTCCCTCTAGAATGTGAGAAACAAAACTGTCTTCTTTATATTTATTACCAAGATTGGTGGTATTTTCTTGTGGCTGCACAGATAAATCGAAACAGATATGATGAATCTTCAGGTTGAGACAGAAAGCCCAGATCTTAACCAAAATAATTGAAACTAGTAAACTTACAAAATCAGTGTAGTAAAATCAGAATATTACAGAAGTAGAACCAACTATTCTGATATGATTTAATACTCAGACTAAAATGGGGTTAGATGCTCCTGAGTCTTAGTCACATCCAATAGCTCCTGGAAAACAGGGAGTAAATCTTTCTTCATTGCATATATTGGTTCATTCATTCGTTTGTTTGTTTGTTTTCACACAGGAAATGGAACCCAGGACTCCACCCCCAAGTTTCACCCCTAAGCCTTATTATTATTATTATTATTATTATTATTTTTAGGACTGGGTTTCCCAGGTAGAATTCCTAATCACAATCCTTGTCTTAACCTCTCTGAGAGCTAGTATTACTATTTCATTTAAAAATTTTTGGTGTATAGTATAGAGTCTCACATTTAAGTAACATCTGACAAGGCAGAGTGAAATTCCTGCTATGATAGGACTATATGAAAACTAATTTATGAACATAGAGAAAGAACAGATTCTTTTTGAACAGAATAATGAACAAATCCTAATGAAAGAGGCAGAACATCAAACAGATGTAACTTACCTGACCATTGAACTCAGAGACAACGCAAGTCAAAATCTGGAGGCAAATATCAGTGCGTGGAAGACTGTGTAATCCGAGTTACCTCGAATATAGGAGAGAATGAAGTACAGACAGATGGGTGCCACAGGATTTGCTTGCCTATATCTGTAATGTTGCACATGCAGCTAGACTAAAGAACTTCAGACCCCAATTCTGATATAATGGAATCTAGAATTATCCTAAAAGCAAAGAAGATCCCTTGAGTCTGTCTGAATATTGAACAATGATTGAACCTATGCGTTGGAAGGATCAATCCTAAAGATTAAATAATAAATATTAAAGACAGAGGCTTCTTGTCACATGAATGTCACATAGTTGGAGAAGAGGGTTGTCAGGATGGGAAGAAAATAATCATGTGTACTTCTGAAGTTTTGAGTAATTCCAGTTCTGTGTTTGTGTTTGTGTGTGTGAATGGATAAAAAAAGGGTAGCATATGTGCAATCATACACTCAAATTTACAAAATATTCTGGGTCTGTTATAGTTTAATTGACATTTAGCTTAAAAATCACTGGTGTGGTTTTTATCTATTTGGTCAAAGTTGAATTATTTTAAATGCTGGTTCTCAACTCTCTCATCTGACCTTAGTTTGGGAGGCATGATTGCTGTGAGAATTAAATGAAATAATTAATTAAATATAATAGCAAATATAAGGAATCTAGCTACAGTACTTTGCTCATATAGACATTAATAATAGTTGTTTAATAAGAGAATGACATCTTTCCATTTGACTTAAAACTTCTCAGAGCTTTTTGCTCCCAGATAATGGCAATTTATCTTCTTATCTATGGGTGATGATTTTGCGTGTTAAACATCTCTTACGTAACTTACACTTAGACATCTAAGTCTAGGTCTTTATTTTAATCATAAACTTTTGAAAGTGTTCTTCTCACACCATAGCATTAACCATGTTACATGCATTTAGCACGGTACAGCTGATGAGGATGCCCTTATTAGGGTTAAAACAAGACTCATTTGAGGCAAGAAGGAATTAGCAGCTAGTAAAGTGCATGAGTAGAAGGAATGTATCTACAGCATGAGATAAATGAGTCCGTCCTATTAGAAAACAGGGAACACCTTCAGTGCTCAGCATTGCTGTCTTACCTTGTCTGCACAGTCTTCTTGAGCCAAGAAAACCAGATTTTCCTTGGTATGGTTAAATGGCTTGAGCTAGGAACAAGGACTGAGCTGATATAGGAGGAGAATTTGATATTGACATAACATAGGGTTTGTAACCACCAAGCCTGACACACAGCAGAATGGTATCTAACAATTTCTGTGCCAGTGGGCTCTGCTTATATACAACCTCACCTGCCTTCTAGTCAGTTACAGGAATAAGTATCAGCCATTTCTAAGGTCACTGGATTTTAGCCTGTGATATGCAACAATGCTCTTTCCACTTTACAGATTCGATTTAATATATGGCTTCAAATATTTTAAGCACAAGATTAACTTCATACTGATTAGATTCTAATGAAATTAACATCACTTGCTTGATGATCATCTGCTTGATGCCATTGCAAATTTGGCGTTTAATGATCTAATATTTATAACAATCCTGAAATAGTTATTTTAATATTTTCACACCTTTCTAATTACTGAATAACTATAAAAACATCTATGAGATGACATTGAATAAAATATTGCAAAATATTTTGTTTAGAGTGCTTCCAACAATGGATAATAAAGATTTTCCACAAAGACTAAACCAAATGTACATGCTATCAACACACACACACACAATCAGAACAAACAACACTAAAATGAGTATTGTGGCAGTTTCTGGTTCTTGGACCATGAGGGCTTTTTAGTGTTCTTCTTGTGAATATTCCCGTCCTTGTGATATTCTAAACTATGTGCCGATATGTGTCTCAATGTTTAGAGAACAACTATTACATCAGCGATTATACTCCTAATGAGAAAAATATATACTCAAGGTTACATAAGGAATAAATGGCCCAGTTTGTCAATTCTTCCTCGTTTTGAAGCAGGTGACAGGGGGAGTTCACTTGATCTAAGCTCAGAGTTTTGAGTTGTTCTTTGCTGCATTTATTTTTCCAGGAGAGTTTCTCTGCCATGTGTTAGAGGCCAGGAAGAAGAAGAATGGGCCCTTCACTTAATGATGACAAATAGCAGCTTTGGTCCTTACCTGGGAGGCTGTGGCAACCTGGGTTTGCCTTTTGTGTGTGTCCAGGAGCAGCGGGAAGGAATTCAGCCTGGTAGCTGGATGCTGGCCGGGCTTCGGGTTGGCGTGTGTCTAACATTGTCTGGGGAACGCGCTGTGCCCGCCGAGACACACTCCTCTCCCAAGGACTAGAGCTAAGAAAACAAAAACTCCTGGTGCCAAGGCTACAGGCCTTATCTGTAAATCACTTCATTTTCAGTCTTTTCAAGGGTACTTTGACCTTAGTTCAGAGCTGGAGCAGGCACAACACATCCATTTTTCAATGACAGCCCAAAAGATCAAATACCTTTGGCTCTACCGATTCTTGATACTGTGTCACATTTCCTATGGGAGCATCTTTTTAGAAGATTCCAAGAATATGTGAGAATGTGTGTGGGTATGTGTGTATTTTTATGTGTATGTATGTACATACATCTATATATACATGATTATTAATCTACAGTGTATACAAAAAGTAGACTTGCTTCTTGATATTTTAGAAATATTAAAAATTTAATAACATTATGAGACTTCAACCTGCATACTAGGATAAAAATGTCAACATAAAGAGAAAATAAGAAGATACTTTCTTTCCAACTTGTGTTTTAGTGGAAAGTGGTATTAGTGATTTTTCAACTCATATATTTATGAAGTTCAAAATGAAGACTAGAAAATATCTCAAGGTCAGAAAGTGAATTCACTCCTGAATAGAACACAATCTTCACCTCCTGTCTTCATTTCAGTTCTCTAGGGATGACTATCTTGACATATGCAAAGCATTTAGAAAATATGATTTACATAGTTATCATTATTACAATAAAAATTGCAATGATAAAAATGACTGAAAATATTAACTGGCATAATCTCAGGGCATGAAATTGATAGCGATTTTACTTTTTGGCTATTATCAGACTTCAAATATGTACTTAAATATTTATTACTTAATGATAATATGAATTTAACAATTATCAGCCAACCCTTCCTGCTGTTAGACAGTTCATAGTACCACCAGTTCATTTTCATAGCCCATTTCCTTAATAGGCTCTTGTAAATATATATCAAAAATTGTAAGATGACAGGACCCACAGGACCCAAGATGGCACCTTTCTATTTCTGCAATTCTTGAGCTATAAACTGGATTTTAAATGTAATGTTAGTTTCATAACACGGTGAATCCAAATTAGGTTCAAATTATAATCTTTCCCAAGCAACCGTGCAACAGTCTGTAGGGGAAGTTTTCCATTGTGAATCAGTCCAGACTTCCACCAGTCACTAGTGAGGAACAGTGCCCCACAGGGTGAGCACAGACAAAACACGCTTGTTACTTATACAATAAGATTTACTATGATGCCCATTATGGTTTGACTATTATCTTCTTTTGAAGCCCTGTAAGGTTTCCAGCAAAGGTTTTATTGGTCTAGAACAGTACTGTTTTGATCAATTCTATTATGCCTGATGATATAGGCAACTCTTTTTAAAAATAGCAAGAGGCACAATGGTCACCATTTTTGATCACCTGGTATTCTATTTTTGCATCCCGTACTATGCCCATCCTTCTGTTCTAACTGACTCTGTTTTATTTAGTCACGTTTGGTTTTATTCTCTTCAAAAAAAGATAATAAGAACTGTGGGAATAATAAAACCCAAAATGTGTAATTGTTATTGTAAAAGACAGAGGAAAGGAAGGTGGTCTAAGGGATATAACTGCATGTATGTTTGAGTGTATAGGATAGAAAACCATATTACTGAGCTTTTGCTGGATCATTGAACAGAACTGTTTGCACTCTCACTGTATGAATGTCCACTTTATATGCTTTAAATTTATAATTTGGACAACTGTTTCTAAGATGACAATATGTAACCTATTAACTTGTGATCTCTTACTGTATATTTTTCTTGAAATTCTGTATTACTTATACTCTTTTACTGCTTTTTTATTTCCTTTCTTTTTTCTCTTTAAATAAAAAAACTGTACAAATAAAGAGTTAAAATTAACGATATATGCACGAGGTAGAGACTGTACAAGAAAGACCAAAGTGAGTCGCTGCAGTAAATGAATTCTGTGTTATGTTTGATGCAGCTACCATCCGTGGCTTGCTGTCTGCCATGGGGCCCAAACTTGCAGTTTAAATGGGCATTCATCTCCCGTGTTCAGAGGGCCCAAGAGTGCAGCCATGTTGCTAAGTAATAGTGCACACTGAACGCTGATCCTTCAGATGTTTAGAGGCAACTTTCTCAGTTTTGTCTGTGCCAGAGAAGAACAGGATTCCCTGTCACAGTCCTGCTCAGACTCATGCTCTGATTATGAGGACTTTTGTGTCCAGCAGAAGACAAACTTTACTTTGTTTTTCTTAAGCTAAAATCCAAACACTCTTTTGAATGCCTTCCTGAAGCTGAGTAAGATTTCAGTAGACCCAGAGGAAAGAGGAATCTCTTGAAGCATTTGCAGCTGTGATTCAGGATGCTTCACGTTCGTTGTCAGCTTGAATTCTGGCTTGCTGCTTGTGCCTCTTAGCTCTCAGGTCTAGAAACAGACGGTTTAGATTTTTAGAAATGAAAATCAAAGCTATGCAGAGGCACATGAGTTGACTCTCCAAGTGCTACTCTGTGATCTCATATTTCTGAGTTGGGTCTATCTCAGGGAGTTTTGTCCTAGATGCTCTAATAAGACAGAGTTAATTTTTCAGTAAGAAAAGCTGCCGGTCATGCTTAGAGACTTTGGCACCTTCTCCTTGAGGAATCAGCTTGCCACTGATCTTGAGCAGCCTCCCAAACTCATTAAGGTCCAGCTGTGTCCCCAACGATTCAGTGTTAGCATTGGAGTCAGCACAGCAGCCACTGCTGCAATCACTGGCTGAAGTCACTGGCTATGAGACCTTTCTTCGTCTCAAAACAAGGTTTTTGGAGGGTTTCTGGGCCAGCGCTATGGCTCAAGAATATGGTTCAACAGCGCAAGGGCCTGCTTGGCAAGTGCAAGGTCCTGAATTCAATTTCCAGTACAAAACAAACAACAACCAATAAACAAGCTTCAAGCATAACTTAGAAAAAGTAAATGAAGACTTTTTGCCGCTGATTCACCCTCAATCTTTAATATCCTTTTCTTTTCAGTCCTGGAGCCATGACTCTGACTTGTATGGCAGCAGGTGAGGACACAGGGCAAAGCTACTCCGCCTGTCTGAGAGCCCTCACATAGATTTGTGCCCACACCGCCATGACCCCACTTCTTGCCAGCTACCAGCTTCTCCTCTGTGTCACTCCCCAGCCTCGCTGATGGTGGCGCTCAGATTAAAGAGAACAGTGTTCTTGGAGGATATATTATCTGTTTTTTCCCCAGGCTCACAAGGGAATTAATAAGTGGCTCTTGAATTCCATTTTTTTTCAGCCCAAGAAGATATCACACTTGTAATGGCTGCCTGAAATGGTAGCTAAGCTCAGACATGTGAGCTGAAAAGCGGCTTCCAATCTAATAGCTAAGCATGACTGCTAGAGTCACTTACATGTGTTTACTATTTCACTGATATTTTGAATCTATTGTCTCGTTTTGTTTCCTAGAAGCCCAATGTGCGAGAGGTGTTGTCATTTAACACTGGAGGAATCTTGTGACACATGAGCACTTGTCAAAGTTCTCACAATTAAAATCCATATTTTCAGGTAAAACCCTGGTAAGACTTCTACCTTCACATTCTTGAATATGGCTTCATATTCTTGAGGTCTCAATGTCATCAGTATCTAGTATTTGCATTGTATGTTATAAATTCATATATTATATTTTAGTACCATGTATGATTCTTACGGCACATATGAAAGCAAAGATGGCATAGCAGCCTCCTTACATGTCATGGCCATGCCTGGTATGAGGCTTGTGGCTTCTGTTGTAGCTTTTTAATAAATGACTTCAGCAAAAATCTTTCTGTGACCCTCCTTCTGTTCCTCTTCTGTCATAGTAATACGCTTGCATGGATAACGGGAGAAAAGATGCATAAGCTGTTTCTGGAGTTCACCTTTGTCAACTTGTAGAAGAGGAAACCATGAGTGCTGCTGATTTTGAGCAGTTCTTTAAGAGAGAGTTAAAGTGACTAGAAAAACTGGGGTTGTCCGCAGAGAGACTGTAATCACTGAAAAGCACAAAAACAAGAGCATTGTGATTTTGGAAGTGCCTTTTCCCCAAGGCATCTGAAATAGTAAAAATATTTGAAGAATCTTTGTGATTGGCTGTGCATAGTAGCTAACAGAAGAATTGTTAATGATCTTACTTTCAAATTAAGCAGAAAAAAAGAAGAGAAGTAAGACGAGGGCAAAAATCAGTTAATATGCCATATTTTGTATGAGTTGCCGAATAAAACTTAGAAAAAAGAAATTCTGCCCGCGGTAAGCCCTAAAACATCCTCAGCAATGTCTCCAGCCTTGCGCAATTCTTCCGTTGGTTCCAAGTTATCACCACCAGATGGCGCTGTGCATTAGCGAACATCCTGCCTGGGAAGCGCTGCTCTCGGGGTCTCTTTGGAGAACTGAGGAAGTATTACTGAGCAGAAATATTGAAGTGTTAACCGCAAATAGGTACGTCTGTGTAATTTAGGAAATAGTAAAAAATTCGGGTTTATTTTTGTTTTAATAAATCATGTAAAACATCTCTCTGTGAGAATAACTGGTGCAACAAATCAGAAATTCTATTCTCCTTGACAGACAGTGGGCGCTAATACAAGGAAGTGTTTGTACAATTTGAGCAACAGCAGAGCCGTGGAAATGTAAATGGTTGTACAATTGTTAGCCAATCTGCGATCTTTTTTCTTCTCTGATCCTCATCAGTGCCCATTCTGAAACTCTGCTCTTCATGCTCATCAGATTTTCTTTTAAAACTCACACACTTATGAATTTGCTCAGCGACTGCATCTACTTCACAATTTTGAAATCTCCTTTGACAGCATTGAAATAGCAAAGTGTCTGTTTTCTTTATAGGATCATTCTTAACACTCGCCTTTGTGCTCAATTCATCCTTATTGAAAACTGGATGATTGACTAGTAAATGGTACCACGGCCATTTTTCTGTAGGCTCAGTCCTCATTTTCAAAGTGTGTTTTTGAGTGCTTCTTAGGGCCTAGGACATAGAACTTCTGATCTAAGAAAATAAGAAACAATTATGATTCACTATGCTTCTTAACATGTTCTTC